AAGAGAGAGAGAGAGAGAGAGAGAGAGAGAGAGAGAGAGAGAGAGAGAGTACTGAAGAAGCCACACACACAACACACACACACACACACACAAGAAACTGTGAGAGATAAAGAGAGAAAGAGAAAGGGGAAAGAGCCCTTCACTATCACTGGTGCATTTTTTTCTTGCATTCAGTTTTTCTTTCTTCTCTCAGGAAAAAACTAATACTAATACTCCATCTTTGAAGCTTCTGGAAATAAATCTACTTTAGGTGGTTTGCTTTTCCTTCTATGTTCATCTCTCCCCTTCAAAGAAATTTAAAAAAAAGAAAGAAAAAAAAGTGAAAACCGTCAAGGAAAAAAATAAAATAAAAAATCAGCTTTTGATTGTTAAAGATTATTGTGCGATGCACCACTCAAAGTTGGTTTCTTGAGAAATGGGGTTTATGTGGTTTGTTGATTAGATATGTCAATGTTGATATTTTTATTTTTATTTTCATTAGCTTTTGAGTATTCATCATAGTTCAAATATTTATATAATCTACATTTTCAGGTCTTTCTCTTGTTGACTCCTGGTACTCTTCGATTTTGACTCATTTTTTCTTATTTTCTGACTATATTTTATTTTTCTCGAAACAAAAATCCCCCTTCTGTCAATTTATCTGGGTATTGGTTTCTTGAAATATCTGTTTAATGTAGCTATTCTTTAGATGTATGATCTTTTTTCTTTTAAATTTCTCATTTGTTTTATATTTTAGGTATTAAGGAAAAAAATCTTGATGTTGGTGCAGGTGTTGGTGGAGTTTTAGGGCAGACGGCTTTAGGGAGAATGCTGAGGAAGAGGAGCAGATCACACCACAAAGTTCAACAAATGGGACAACATTTGATCTCAGATTCCTATTCTCAATCTGATGTGTTGTTGGCTAATAGGAAACATAATAAAAATAACAACTTTTGCAATGTTCCTGTTCCTGCTAGTGTGTTTGTTGGGCTCAATAATCCTACTAAGGTTAGCTCAGAATCTGATTCAGTGAGAAGTCCTACTTCTCCACTTGATTTTAGGGTCTTTTCAAATTTAGGTAACCCCTTTAGGAATAAGGCTACCTGGGGTTGTTGCACTAAAGTAGGCCTTGGCATTGTAGATTCTCTTGATAATGATGATGAGATGAAGAAATCGGGGAAAGTTCTCCGATCATCGGATAGTAAAAACATTCTTTTTGGCACACAAATGAGGATCAAGACACAGAATTTTCAGACCTGTGTTGAGGAACCTAAGTCACTCCCTAAAAATATCTCGATTTTTCCTCATACCTTGTCCAAAAGCTCCAATCTTGAAAAGGGCAATTCTGATGTTGTGTTTGGAATTGGAGAAGCCCCATTAGAGCATGAGTTGTCGAGAAATTTTCGTTCTTGTTCTCTAGACTCTGGTAGGTTTATTGCACATTTTGCAAGCTCGGCGAATTTTGGTTATGAAAATGGAACCAATCCTGTGGTGTCACATACTCAATGTGTTAGAGGTTGCTCAAAGTTGGGTCCTAAGCCAACATCGGTTGGCTCTAGCACTAGCTTAGCTGGTGCTATTTCGGCGAGTGACATTGAACTTTCTGAGGACTATACCTGTGTGAGAACCCGTGGACCTAATGCCAAAGTAACTCATATTTTTGGTGACTGCATTTTAGAATGTCACAACAATGAGTTGACCAATTTTTGTAAGAATGCTAACGAGAAAACCACATTGCCTGAGGTGGTTGACAGCTCGGAGGTTCTCACTTCATATCCTTCAAGCGATTTTTTGCGCTTCTGTTACTCTTGCAAGAAGAAGCTGGATGGAGAAGATATTTACATGTACAGGTCTGTTGATTTTAGGTGCATTTTAAAATGGTTTTAGTGACTCAATGATTTTGACAATGAAAATATGTATGATGTCTTTGCAGAGGTGAGAAAGCTTTTTGCAGCTTGAACTGCCGTTCCGAGGCGATTTTGATTGATGAGGAGATGGAGAAACTCAATAATGATTCTGAAAACACAATTAAGCCAAATAGCCGGGATGAAGTTTTTGAGACCGGCTTGTTCATTGCTACATAGGATGCTGCAATTGCGCTACTAAGCCCATGATTGACGAAATGGCCACACTGTTTTAACAAGTAGAAACCCTGATCATTTGTTTCCTAAGAGCTGTTTTTTTTGTGCATCTGTGTGCAGCCATGGATGATCAGAGAATGTATTGCTATTTGTGTGAACTGTCTTTCCTTTCTCATGGTCTTAGTGGTTAAACAATCGCAAACAGCAAGTTTTGCTTTACATAGTTCTGAATCTGATATGTAATAGTGGAGTATAATCTCAGAAAAAGAATCTTAATTACAAGGGTTGTAGCTCATCCTTGTGGCTCCCCAATTTTTGATTTCTCACCTGCTAAATACTTTGGCAAAGTCTGATGAATATAAATGTTTCATGACTACATATATTGCTTCTAAATGTTACTCTAGTAGTGTATCACTGACTCATACCAGTATTACTTCTAACACACTAGGCCATATATATAGTTGTCCTCATTGTTTACTGCTAATCGAATTCGACTGTCTGGTTATGTCAAAGTGTTTTTGACTTGTGAGATGGTTTCTTGATTGTGATTCAGACTTAAGTGATTGTGTGATGGTCGCCTATGCTAGTAAATTTTGATTTGGCCTTCTACTCAGGTGAAGATAGCATAGGCTCTTGAGGTTTCTGTTTTAATTGTTCTTCAAATACCCCTCAAAACCAATTGCTCCCTGAATTCTAGCTCTACTTTGATCCTCAACTTATTATCTTTTTTCTTGAATGCACTTGGTAGACATGTTGGGAATATGTTTTAGTCATGTTAGTAAGTTTAGGTCCTATGTTTTCTAGGAGTTTCTTCGTCCTGCCAGATTTACGTGTCCATAGAAAATATCGAGAACTTCTAATGCCTTTTATTTCTATTTTGTACAATATTGGTCTGAGATGAGCTTAAATGGAGCAGACATGGTTAGTGAGGTATCATGTTGCCAATCTAACTTGCTTGGGGTCGAGGCATAGTAGTTGTTGTACCAATACGTTGTAGCTCCATTCTATTTCTTCAGATTTAGCTACATCAATTATGCTTCAGTTTAGGACATGATATGTTCTGTTGTGTTACATGAGCAGCTGTCTTTTTCTCCAGCTTTTAGATTAGCACAGACATGTTTGTTTATTCTAACTACTTGAGACATCCTCATCTTTAAGAAGCCCCTTTGGCTTTAATTTTGTGCTTCAACTGCAATTGGAAAGGAAGTTTCTTCCACTGTTATTAATGGATTGATTGGTTTCCCTGAGAACACTGTTGGGAGATTGAGAGAATATTGGGCCATGTTGCTGCCATATTTGAAGTCTGAAGGCACTACTGAACTATGGATTGCCTTTGCTAAAGTACTATCACTATTCCTGGTTACTTTCTGTATTTATTTATGTTTTCTATTTGTTTTTCTTTTATTGTGTGAGGTTATTAATTTAAGTAACTTTGGTTTGGTGAAAATTGGACGGGGAGTAATTGTAGCTCGCCTATCTTAGTAAGAAAGAGTACTCCTCTGGTCCTTCTCATCTTTCATTTGAGGAAAAAGAAAAGGAAATAATGTCACTCCAAAAAATTAAAAAGGCATTAATTGTTTTCGTCCTTGTTACTCTAAGAAAGCTTATAGTCATTAATTACTCATTTAAGGAAGAGAAGGGAGATTTTGTTAGGTACTCATTATCATACTATCAAATGATCTTTTAATTGGTAAACCAAAACCTTACAAGCCAGGTAAAAACCACCAGAGAGAGTAAAGATTGTAAGTGAACTAGTAGAATTGAAAGGTGTTGCAGTAGTTTTTTATCATTACGAAATTAACGGAAAGGTTGAAGTAGAATTGAAAGGTGTTGCAGTAGTTTTTTATCATTTTGAAATACACCCAAATTCAAACCAATAACCTCGATAAGTCACATAGCCACAATTGAACATAGCAGAGCAATAAATAGGGGAATAGGGCTAAAATATTCAAAACGACCGGTTGGTCGTTACATGAAGTATCCCATATTTGTGAACTTCGTATTTACCATCCAGTTAGTGATCGTATTACGTATATAGGTATCTGCTCTAACAATTTTATTTCGTATGCTTCATGCATGTCTACTTTCATTATACATGATTTATTGGACCACTACTAAATGTCAAATATCGACCCCTCATCACTACTTCTTCAGGGTTAGACTAGTTACTTACTAGGTACGTGTTGATTTACGTACGCATGCCACACTTCTGCACTAATTATGCAGGTATTGAGATATGTACTTTTGATGGTCATTTGGGCGCATAGGTGCAATTGCTGAGGAGAGTTTGTGGTGAGATGCTTACTATGTACGATCCGCAGCACACAAAGTCCCTGATCTATCCATTTATTGTATTGTCTACTTCCAATTCCAGATAGTTATTGTAGTAGTATTGTATAGTCTACTAGATGCTCATG